AGGCCAGATAAACTCCAACATAAAGTGGTGGTTATGGCAGCTGGTAAGGAAATGTTTTAATGTTACTATAATTACTTCAGAAGGATATTAGGTAATTCTTGAATTATGAACTGCTGCCACTCCCTTCCTTTTCTAGCAATTGACTCACACCAGTATTTCACAGGGTGGTGGTAGTTGTTATATTCCCTGTATCATGTGGACATGAAGATGATGGATCTCAGGTACTATACAGTATGTGTTCCAATACAGTACTGTACACCCTTGATAATTCAGAATATATGGGGCTCTAACCATTCCAAGTTATCGTGGCACTTACCTCCTGGTCTTTCATTCCACCCCCCAATACCCAACGTTTTGGCCCCAATGACCTTCCATAATCAGAAAACTTTCACAAAAATTAACTCTTATCAGCACTGCAGGAGAAGGATGAGGATAATTCAAGTTTGGTGTCAGAGGTGATGGGGTGCTACTGCTCACTGCACTACATTACATTTCTGTATTGTAAACACTTATAGGACCAACTTTACCAGGGAATGCTTGTGAGGTGTTCACTGAACCAGTGTGAGAGAGAGAGAAGGATCCCAGACAGTACTCAGAGCAGTTATTTTTCAACTCATAATTTCCGTTAGACATTCGTAATTGTTTTTTCATCTCTGTTACATGCACACACAGTCTTTCATATAGAATGTATAAAAAAAAATATCAAATGTTTATTATAAGGTAAAAAACATAAGGGAATAAACATTTCTTACGTGTGCTGGAGTTATCACACACAGTGAGAGAGGGAGATTGGCATGGGGGATCTTTCAGCTGTTCACTGTTTAGTGTCCCATGTGTAGTGAAATGATTGCCAAATGGCAATGCAATATTTTTATTTTATTTATTATTATTATTTTTATTTATTTCTCACATTTACTGTTTCAGTATACTGTATATTATTTTATGTGCAAAGAATAACTCCCTTGGGCAACCTGATACAGTTCAGCTGCTCAACCATCCAAGCTGACTCACATCGGAGAAGGGAGGGATACGGTTACACCTGGAGCTCACTGTCTCTAAACACAAACTTTCACTTCCCAAACTTACATAGCCATGCTCTTCATTTTTTTTTTTTTATGTATTATAGTTTTATGTTACGGCATATTTTCATTATTTCTAAGCCACATTATAGTATTACAATGATTTTGTTTTAGGTTTTTTCTCAAACGTTCACAGACAATTGATAAACATGGTGAGCTAACAAGAGATGCTGGGTGGGTAGGCTCACTCAAGAGCGAGACCTAAGCTTAAGATTGCATGTGTTATGCCAATCTGAGATTGCGTCATCATATCTAGGAATATTGTGTTATGCAAGAAACATTTATTTTGTAAAAAAAATATATATATATATATATATATATATATATATATATATATATATATATATATATATATATATATATATATATATATATATATATATATATATATATATATATATATATATTTTTTTTATGAGTTATCAGGGGTTTACTGTAACTGAGATCCATTGCCTGTGCAGCCATATGAAACAAATTACAACATTTTATAGTACTGTACTCAACATTATGTACACATTTTATTGGTTTAAATTACCATACTGTACACTAGGTAATTGGATGTGCTGCCAGAGTTGTGCAATAAAATATTTTTATGTATGAAATGTTATTTTGATCTGTGATACGGATTTTAATCTGACAAATACACATTTTCATAATATCTGTAGTATTAAGAAATAAGTTAGTTTCTTTCAAGGTCAACATACTAATGCATTGTATGAATTTTACCTATTTGTGTGTCAGAATGCTTAAGTTAAGGGTAGCAGCTTTGACTTAATACAAGTGTTTCCTTGGAAATATAAATTGCTTTTTAGTTTAGTTTCTTTGTTTTGAAGAATCAGGACAGTGCTATAACATTCCATATTAATTAGTTTAGCAATGGAATTCCTTTGAGATGACATGTTTTGCATTTTTTTAAATAAATTATACTTGCATTTTGTTACTTGGTTTTTATGTCATGTAAACAAAAATTTACTGCATATATATATAAACACAAGTTGACCAGAATTGGTAAGTACCTGTTTGTAGCCCTAGAGGTGGTAATGGCAGAGGGCTGGAGTGGTGCCATGTCGAGTGGTAGAACTCAATATACTTGTAGACAATATACTACCCAGTAAGTCTGGTTGTATCAGTGTTAGTAAGGGTACAGTTTAGGATTTATCAACTCCCAGAAGGTTTGCTTTGTTTCAATACTTATTAATTGCATGGGCTCATTTCTTATGCTATTGCTTCCAAGTCACTAGTTAATCTTAACACAACTTCTTGGATCCTTGTTGGATTTGCTGATAAGAGTAAAAGTTATTTTACATTCTATCATACTGTATTTGGTTATAACTCTGTTTCACCTTGTGGCACAAAGTTTGTTACATGAAATATTTGGGTATTACAGTATAGTGCAATAGTCTTGAGGGGCTGAAACTGTGTTCATAAAGCTACATTAGTTATTCCAAACTATCACAGGTAATACTCTGAGTTTTGGCAGGCAAAAAACAGTAATCGGTTGTCTGACACAAAGATAATCCACTGATGAATTTGATCTATGCAGATCAGTGAACTTTTAATATCAGTTTTCACAGTCCAAGTTTCATCAAAAGTATAAAATAATGAGCAATAGCATCTCTTAAGAGAGATGTTGTAAGTATGCCTTTATACCTAACTTGCCTTCAGCAGCTCAATTAGAGAATATCACTCATCACTTGTGAGTAGGAGACATCAGCTTTATCAGTAAATGAGAAGCTGCACACCGGCACAGGAAGTCATTCTCTTGAAGGATCTGCCTGGAGCAGTTACTCATCATTCAAATTCTACATTTTTCAGTGATACTTCATAAGAATATGTCTAAATACTATAGAGCCAACTTGAGTAAAACTGTGTCAGGGCTTGGAGACAGGAATTACTCATGGATTGCATGGTACCCCAACATAAGAACATAAGAATGAAGGAAACTGCAGGAGCCTATTGGCCCATACTAGGCAGTCCTGTTACACCCAACCCCTATTGCTCATATATCTGTCCAGCCTATATTTGAAGCTACCTAGCATGTTCGAGTTAATGGTGAAGTTTGGTAACTTGTTCCACTCATCCACTATATTTCCAAACCAGAGTTTACCTATCTCACGTCTAAATCTAAATTTGTCTAATTTAAAATCATTACAACGAGTTCATTCCTGGTTGGATAGTTTGAGTACCTTTGTTATATCACCTTTTTTTCCTGACTTCCATTTATACACTTTGATCATATCGTCTCTCACTCTACGTCTCTCGAAGAAGTACAAATTAAGATGCTTTAACCTGTCTCTGTACTCTAGGTTCCTAATTCCCGGGATTAGTCTTGTCTTTCTCCTCTAAATGCTTTCTAGGGATTCATATCCATTCTGTAGTATGGTGACCAAATCTGAACCGTGTAATCCGAGTGAGGTCTCACAAGCCCACAATATAGTTTTAGGATGACCTCGTTAGTCTTGTAACTAACACTCCTTTGTATGAACCCAAGTACTTTGTTAGCCATGTTTCAAGCAAATACACATTGTTGACTTGGCTTAAGATTCCTACTTATCATAACTCTTAAATATTTCTCAGTCGGACTTGCCTATAGCAACATTTTTCATCTGGTTTCTCTATTTTCATCTCCGGACCTAGACTAAGTACTTTACATTTTCTCCACATTTAAATTTATCTGCCATTTTTCAGTCTATGTGAAATTTTTTTTTAGATCTTCCTGTAGCTTTGCAGAGTCCTCGTCAAATTTAATTGCACGCCCTATTTTAGTGTCACCAGCAAATTTATTTATGTTGCTGTCTATGCCGTTAATGCTTACTCGCTGTTTCCTGTCCTGTAACCAAGTCCTAATCCATTTTAGAATATCTCCTCCAATTCCATGAGCCTCCACTTTTCATATTAGTCTTTCGTGGAGAACTCTGTTGAAGGCTTTGCTAAAGGAGAGGTATACCATTTCATAATCATGTCCGTCGTCCGCTGATTCGAAAACAGTTGAAAAGAATATTTATAGATTTGTCAGACATGAACGCCCACTTGTGAAGCCATGTTGGGAATCATTGATCAACTTGTGCATCTCCAGGTGATTTTGAATAGTTTGTAATGATTGCTCCCAGCAATTTGCCTACAATTGAGGTTAAACTGATTGGACAGTAGTTAGAGGATAGTGATATATCTTCCTTCTTGAAAGTTGGTATCACATTTGCTATCCTCCAGATTTCTGGCATTACACCCATTTTTAATGAAATTTAAACAATTTTGCTAAGGGCATACTAAGTTCTTCCTTACATTCCTTTAATACTCTGGCAAATATCTCAAGGGACCTGGTGACTTATTAGTCTTTAGCTTGTTTATTTGTCTACTGATGTAGTTACTAGTCACTACTATCTCCTGTAATCTATTTTCTTCACTATCTCTGTACAGTAGTATAGTCTGCATTTACGCAGTAAATTGAACCCGTGGAGGTCCGCGTCAAACGAGAAACGCGTAAACGAAATAACAGAACATATGGGATTAATTGAAATAGAGATTGGGCCGACCCCCAAACTACACTTTTTCCGACACAATACGTACGTTGTAGTAAAAATAACATCTTAATTTTATGATGGTATGCACACAATTAATATTTAAGAGAAATATAAATAATATTAGCTAAAATGTTTTACCTTTAAATAGCTATCAGAAACTGTGATATGACATTCAGTTAACTTTATAATAAATATATCACAACACTACTGTATATCCTCACTTAGTATGGAAACCTTGATGCAGCACTGTATGTATTGAGATTTGGACTCTGTGTCACCTCTTTGTATATTAATAATGATCTGAACCTGAATTCTGCTCCTCATTTAAGTCAACCCTTTTCTGTAACAAGAAAAACAAACTTTAAAAGTTTGAAAGTAGAGGTCAACCAGAATTTATATATAGGTTTTTAAATAATAATTTATTATCTCCTCACATGGTCATAGTTGAGGTTTACAGTGAAGCCTCCATGATAGAGAAGTTGGAAGTTGGATCACCACTTGACCTCATTTTAAATGCCCATGCGCTCAGGTGCTCCTTAATCCCTTGGGTACAAGGGGTCACTCTGGGATGAATAAAATTTCTGGCATCCAGTAGTGAATGAGTTAAAAAGACCCTGAGTGAGGTGCTGGTGACTGGGACCTTATTGTTTTTGTAATTCATTTACTCTAATAGCACATTGAAAAAAAAATGGAGATATAAGTGCATAAATACAACAGGTATTTACAAATGTATGGAGATAAAGTATTCACTAATGAAAAGAATGCAGTACAGTACAGTATATAAATCAAGAAATAAACTACGTACAAGTAATAGTGATAAGACCTTATCAACTGTATTTAGAAAAATTTATAATAGTTTTTCTTATGAAATGTCCATTACAGTATTTACAATGCACAGGAATACCATTGTAATGTTATCACTTGCTAAAAAAAAATGAAAGAAAACCACATGAAAGATAACTACAGTAATGGTAAATTTTTGGGTAGAATTGTATCAGGGCCAGTGCTGAGACTTTAGAAAATCTTCATCATTTATCAAGGGCTCAGTTATGGAATGAGGCAATGTTATATAATATATTAAATATTTTACACAGAATTGTTATTGACATCAAATCACCAAGTCTTGCTTAATGCTGCTAAAATACAGTCTTGTGTGACCACTTGTTATTAATCTTTATCAGTACTACTGTATAATGTAACTATTTTCTTCTTTATTACTAGTTTTTGCTTTTGTGGATTAATTTTCATTGTCTTCTCCTAAACCTTAAGTTCTCCGTTCACTTGTATTATCCATAAACTTTTTAAGGACAAGTTCCACCCAGAAGCGATGTTTTTGGACGAGTGTGTAGGCAATGGGGTTACTCCTCAAGGCATTAGCAATCCCTCCCACACCCACCAATTTCACCCTATTGGTTGTCGAGTCTTCCTGAAGAAGAATAGACTTTCCTACCTGGATGGTGAAGAAGAATTAAAAAAAATATATCAGTTTCAGAACATAACATTGGATTGCAACATGTGATAGGCTAATGATACAACACCTAAGCACTTTACTGTACCGGAAAATGTAAAAAAAAAGACATTTTCCATGTATCATAGAGCCAAGGATGTCTGATAATGTAAATTTATGGGAAGTTTGTCAGTCTGCTTCCTCAAGTTTGTTTAAGATAATTACTAAATTGACAAAATGTAGTTGTACAGTAAATTGTTTGAGATCTAGAAGCATAATGCAGACAAAATTAACTTCAGATATAATCATTATCACTATGATTGCCTTCTTATCATAAAAATTTGCATAGAAGCACTTTGCAACAGCACACAAAAACCAATACGGTAAGTCATATAAAATAATCCAAGTTGAACAAGCTTATTCATTTAGATCTATTGTACATGCAGTGAAGGCTTACTGATTCAAAGATCCGGTCAGCACAGATATGGTCTTCAGTGAGGAGAGTGTAGAGGGTCGACTCCTGATCTGGAAATCTCTCATTGACGAGCCTGATGGCAGTGAAACAAATAGACGAGCCCAGCACACGAGAGTTCCTCAATATATTCAAGCTGGCAAGACGCCCTTGAGGAGCTGAAAGAACATGTATTTACATCATATACATATATACTCTAAATGAAAAAAAAAGAGAATCATAAATTAGTCAGGATTTTTCTGTAAATACTGTACAGTATACATGAGATCTAGAAGTGGACAAGACTTGACTTACTATCAATGATGCTGTTGAAACCAACAATGGTGCCCTCCCCAAGAGCCAGTGGGTCTGGGGTGTCAAACACCCCTGGCAGACAGATTGGCTGTATGTAGTCTGCAGGAGAAAACAAACCAACTTGCTACTGTATATGGTGATAACTTTGTAAATGAGTACAGTGTTTCAATATCTTATTATCAGTTGTGTGTTGACTTGTAAATACTCTCTTAATAGCCTTTTGTGCTAAGTTTCGAATACTTAAGGCAAAATTCCTGTGAACTATTTAGTGAAGTGGATTTTTTTTTGTAAATTAGTTTCTAAAACTATTTTGTAAATCAGTCACTAAAATTATTATTTTTGTAAATCAGTCAATGAAGACAATATCTTTTATAAGAAAATTCCTGAAAATTTCCTTTATGTATGTCTCGGATTCTGACCAGTAAAAACAGGTCACCCAGAGTAATCATCTATCATCATCAGCTTCATGTTGCATACACTGAGAGCAAGAGAACAACACTTCATGTCACTCATGCAGTAACTTAAGACCTGTACTTCTTTCCAGTCATAGAAACCCTATTAACACAATAACTAATACTGTGTATTAAAATCATCCTCATCTTTTAATTCATCCTCACTGTGGAAGTGTACTGTGGTGTTGGTGTCAGCTAGTCATCAACACCATTAAACAACTCCCTGCTCCCTTAATTTACTCACTTTATTGAGATGCAGGCACAGGGCCACCTTATGACAAAATATCCCCCCTCCACCCTTAATACATTCTTACCATTAAAAAACACTGGCATTGCCAGTTCCAAAAGGCCTATGTTGCTGCCGTTGAGGAAGTCAGTTGGACCCCTGATGGACGGGTGAATCCTACGACCCACCACATAATTCTCCACTGCAAAGGGCTCAGGTAAGGCCTTGGTCACATTAAGTTGTACAATGTTGCTGTTGGGTGGAAGAAGTGAACCTATGGTAAAGTCACCATATATATATATATATATATATATATATATATATATATATATATATATATATAATATATATATATATATATATATATATATATATATATATATATATATATATATATATATATATATATATATATATATATATATATATAAGTACTGCTGAGGACTGAGGAGTTAGATTACAATAGCACACTGGGTGAAAACTATAAATAAATAAAGAAACGATGGTACATGAAGTGGCACAATTTGACCCATAATGTCATAATGGGAGGAAGGAACAAGGAAATATAGATAGATGGATTGATTGACAGACAGATGAACAAACAGGTAGATAAAGATGGATAGATAGATAAATAGGAAATGAATTGGGATAAGCCATGAAAGAAAAGCCATGATGGGGCTGGAGAATATATGGGAAAAGGAGGAAATCCCCCCAAGCTCTTAAAGACGCCTCCATCTCCAATATTTATAAGAACAAGGGAAACCGGGCAGACTGTAGCAACTACCACGGGATCTCGCTGTTGTCCGTAGCCGGCAAGATTATAGCCCGAGTCCTCCTAAACAGATTTCTTCCTGAGACGGAAAACTTTCTCCCAGAATCTCAATGTGGCTTTAGACCATCACGTGGCACCACTGACATGATCTTTGCTGCCCGTCAGATACAGGGAAAGTGCAGAGAACAACGTCGTGATCTATACATGACCTTCATCGACCTAACCAAGGCCTTCGACTCTGTCAACAGAGAAGCCCTCTGGCGGACCATCAGCCATTTTAGCTGCCCACAAAAATTCATCACCATTGTGAGGCAACTCCACGATGGCATGAACGGCAGTGTCCTGTACAATGACACCCAGTGTGAGTTCTTCCCCATCCAAATGGGGGTTAAACAAGGATGTGTACTGGCGCCAACTCTCTTATCTATTTTCTTGGCTACCTTCCCTGCTCGTGCCATTGACAATTTAGCCGGCGGGGTGGACATCGAGTACCGGGTGAAGGGTCTTTTCAACATAAGACGACTCCAGGCAAGAACAAAGCTGTCGGCAGCTTCGATTACTGAACTTTAGTATGCAGACGACCTCACCCTTGTCGCTCACACTGAACGCGACCTAAAGGAGATCCTTATCACCCACGCAGATTTGTATGCACACTTCGGCCTTGAGGTGAATGTACGTAAGACTCAGAATTTTCTTTCAGCCTGCCCCTGGTTTAGTCACACCTCCACCATCTATCCAGCTAAACGGTACTACCCTCTCTAATGTTACCCACTTTCGGTGTCTTGGCTCCCACCTGTCCACCACCATGGACATCGATCAAATGTGCATCTCAAGCCTTTGGTCACATACAGGAGGCACCTCAAGGCACTTGAAAACTTTCACCAACGTTGTCTACATTCCATCCTCCGAGTTCACTGGGAAGACGAGAACAAATGCCAGTTTTCTCGCTGACACCAACTGTAGGAGCATCGAGGCTACCATTATCCATGAACAACTACGTTGGACTGGCTATGTTACCTGCATGGACGACAGTAGACTGCCAAAGCAGCTACTTTACAGTCACCTAAAGAATAGTAAACATAACGTTGAAAGGCAACTGAAAAGGTATAAGTATAGTCATAAGACAAACCCGAAAAAGTGCCAAATCGATCCCATCACCTGGGAGACAATTACTCCACATCATAATGCTTGGAATTTCTTAATACAATTATAGTACCCTGTAATATTATACGTAATTATTTAAAAAATATATATTTCAGTTTATGATTTATGTAGGAATACTTATAAAATTAAGAGTGTATTATGCCATTTTAAGCAAATTGTCTATGAACTGCTAATATAGCTAACTGCAAAATATTGTATTTAGATCATATTAAATAAATACTGTATGTGAAATTAGTGACGGATCCAAAGCTGTGCAATATTTTACCTGAATGACAAGTGACATGGGTTGTGTCGGCCCTAAAATTACTAACAAGAGTGTCAATGACCAGTGCTGACACTAGAACATATTGTCACGAGTTTTTCAGGTCAGTCTCCACCCGAGGTAGTGCTGGGGAGGGTAAACTTTAGGTAAGATCAGGTCATATGACCTTCATCTGACCTAAAAGTCAGAAAATATCAAATATACCAAACGGTTGTGACCTGATATTAGCTCGTTTTGTATAAAATCCCCTCTGCCTGCTGATGTTGGCTCCAAGGGGACCAAGCCCCCCTCCGTAGTTGTGTGCCTGACTATACAGCTCGTTGATAAAGGCAAGAAATGTCATGATGGTGGACGATAAAGGCAGGGAATGGTATAATGAGACTTAATGAAGATAAAAATTGATAATGTGAGTTGATGAAGGTAGGAAATGGCAAACAATTGAGTAAAGAAACCAGATAAAGCCTTAATAGGGGCTGGTAGTGACAGTAAATCTTACAATGGATGTATCTTGGGAAACGACTCACATGTTAGCGGAAGCTGCACAGTCAGCATCAGTGAGGATGTGTTGGTTAGTGATCAGTGCACCTGTACAGCGGTAGTGGAACCTGCCATCCTCACTAGACCCCAGTGCCGCCACCCAGGGCAACAGCTCTGCGTCTAGTGGGTCCATAGGGCTACGAGGATTCTTTTAACGGAAATATCTGTTTATAGTTTACTGTTAACAGGAAAAATGGATTAACTGAAGATGAGCCCCAACATATTTAATTTTATTACTGACCACCTTTACCCAAATTTCTAACCTAACCTCCCCAGGTAGCATTGGGTATATAATTTTAAAGTGAAATATTGTGGGTGCTAATATTTAGGGAACACAAAAAAATGCTTTTATGAGGGCTAGGGCGGTTCTGTTCAGTGAAATATTTGTTTTTATAAGGTTTCAAGAATTACAGTAAGGTGAAGTGGGTAAGTGGCACACTGAATGCGAAGCCCTAGGCACTGCACTCAACTGTCTCTCAGTTCACCAACCATAAAGTTAGGCACCCAGTCTTTTGATTGGTTGACACATGTTTTATGTTCTTGTAGTTTATGAATATACTATGTACAGTGCAGTACTGTACAGTATATGATTACAGTACAGTACATCATTACGGTATGTATAATTTTTATGCTTTTATTATTATACATCAATTTTAATTTACATATTATTGACACTGCTTACAAAGTTTCAGAAAGTAATGAATGACAAGAATTTTATGGTAGATTGAAGTCTTACCTCATACAACTATTGTTTTTGTTATGTCGTAAGCTCATATTTCAGGTGTTGCTATTTTTCCAAAAAGTACCACTATTATTTTAAACTAAGTGATATCCCCATTAGCCGGAATAATTGGTGCAAAGGGCTTCCGGGAATGAGGGATTTCCGGGTAACGAGACGACTCTCAAAGCTGGAAAAAATCCCTCATCCCCAGAATTTTCCGGGTAGCGGAAAAATGTTCTCGGAAGTTCCAGAAATTGACCATTACATCATCTCTTGATCCCGGAAAAATATCACCCATCCCTGGAATTTTCCGGGTATCTGGAAAATTTTCTCAGAATTTTCCAAAAAATGTGATCCTCAGAAAATCGTTCCCAAAGCCAGAACTTTCCGGAAAATTCCGTCTTCGGGAACGATTTTCCGAGAAAATTTCAATTCCGGCTATCGGAGAGTTACGGGTTTGAGGGAATCTGGCTAATGGAGATATTACCATTAGTGTTACTGTACTCCATTTTCAAAAACTTCAAAAAATGATAGTGCTGAGAATTTGAACTCCTAGATTTACTGTGTCATAAGCGCACACCACCAGTTATTTGTTGTATTCTAAGAGCAGAACATGTGAAACACTAATAAAAAATGAACTGCACTAACCCGGCCACAATCTAATGGAAGGAGAGCCTCGATGCCACTGATAGAAAGAAGCTCTTTGATGCGTTCCTCGAAATCCTGGGCCGTCTCACCGGGTCGATGGGTACCTATCCCAGTGTTCACCTCCATTGTGGCGGTCATCTCCTTCATCTTCTCCATCAAGTTATTCATGACCGGGTCCCGATTACCTTCCTTCTCTTTCACTTTTGTCATCACGTCCACCATGTCCGTGATGGTCTGCAGGGAAACATTAAGAAGAAGGAGACATTAGGTGTGAAGAGACATATCAGGCGAGAAGAGAGACATATCAGGTGAGGAAAGAGACATATCAGGTGAGGAAAGAGACATATCAGGAGAGAAGAGAGACATATCAGGTGAGGAAAGAGACATATCAGGTGAGGAAAGAGACATATCAGGTGAGAAGAGAGACATATCAGGTGAGGAAAGAGACATATCAGGTGAGGAAAGAGACATATCAGGTGAGGAAAGAGACATATCAGGTGAGAAGAGAGACATATCAGGTGAGGAAAGAGACATATCAGGTGAGGAAAGAGACATATCAGGTGAGGAAGAGAGACATATCAGGTGAGAAAGAGACATATCAGGTATCAGGTGAGGAAAGAGACATATATTAGGTGAGAAGAGAGACATATCAGGTGAGGAAAGAGACATAATCAGGTGAGTAGAGAGACAATCAGGAGGAAAAAGACATATCAGGTGAGGGAAAAGACATATCAGGTGAGTAGAGATATAACAGGTGAGGAAAGAGAGACATCAGGTGAGAAGAGAGACATATCAGGTGAGGAAAGAGACATATCAGGTGAGGAAAAAGACATATCAGGTGAGGAAAAAGACATCAGGTGAGAAGAGAGACAAATCAGGTGAGGAAAAAGACATATCAGGTGAGAAGAGAGACATATCATGTGAGGAAAGAGACATATCAGGTGAGAAGAGATATATCAGGTGAGGAAAGAGACATATCAGGTGAGAAGAGAGACATATCAGGTGAGGAAAGAGACATATCAGGTGAGGAAAGAGACATATCAGGTGAGGAAAGAGACAAATCAGGTGAAGAAAAAGACATCAGGTGAGAAGAGAGACAAATCAGGTGAGGAAAAAGACATATCAGGTGAGAAGAGAGACATATCAGGTGAGGAAAGAGACAAATCAGGTGAAGAAAAAGACATCAGGTGAGAAGAGAGACAAATCAGGTGAGGAAAAAGACATATCAGGTGAGGAAAAAGACATCAGGTGAGAAGAGATATATCAGGTGAGGAAAGAGACATATCAGGTGAGGAAAAAGACATATCAGGGTGAGGAAAAAAAAGACATATCAGGTGAGAAGAGAGAGACATATCAGGTGAGGAAAGAGACATATCAGGTGAGGAAAGCAGACATATCAGGAGAAGAGACAAACTAGGTGAGGAAAAGACATATCAGGTGAAGAAAAAGACATCAGGTGAGAAGAGACATATCAGGTGAGAAGAGAGACATATCAGGTGAGGAAAGAGACATATCAGGTGAGGAAAGAGACATATCAGGTGAGGAAAAAGACATATCAGGTGAGAAGAGAGACATATCAGGTGAGGAAAGAGATATATCAGGTGAGGAAAGAGACATATCAGGTGAGGAAGAAGACATATCAGGTGAGAAGAGAGACATATCAGGTGAGGAAAGAGACATATCAGGTGAGGAAAGAGACATATCAGGTGAGGAAGAAGACATATCAGGTGAGAAGAGAGACATATCAGGTGAGGAAAGAGACATATCAGGTGAGGAAAGAGACATATCAGGTGAGGAAAGAGACATATCAGGTGAGAAGAGAGACATATCAGGTGAGGAAAAAAGACATCAGGGTGAGTAAAGTGAGATATATCAGGTGAGGAAAGAGGACATATCAGGTGAGAAGAGAGACATATCAGGTGAGGAAAAGACATATCAGGTGAGAAGAGAGACATATCAGGATGAAAGAGACAAGTGATGAGACATATCAGGTGAGGAAAGAGACATATCGAGTGAGAAGAGAGACAAATCAGGTGAGGAAAAAGACATATCAGGTGAGAAGAGAGACATATCAGGTGAGGAAAGAGACATATCAGGTGAGGAAAGAGACAAATCAGGTGAAGAAAAAGACATCAGGTGAGAAGAGAGACAAATCAGGTGAGTAAAAAGACATATCAGGTGAGGAAAAAGACATCAGGTGAGAAGAGAGACATATCAGGTGAGGAAAGAGACATATCAGGTGAGGAAAAGACATATCAGAGGAAAAGACACAATAGGTGAGAAGAGAGACAGGGATGAAATATACGGGAAGTGGAGAAGAGAGACATATCAGGTGAGTGGGTGACACATTTGTAGAGTGGGAAAAAGACATATCAGGTGAGGAAAAGACATATCAGGTGATGAAAAAAAGACATATCAGGTGAGAAGAGAGACATATCAGGATGAAAGAAAGAGACAAAGTGGGAGAAGAGAGACATATCAGGAGGGAAAGAGACATAACAGGGTGTAGTAAAAGAGAGACATATCAGGTGGGGAGGAAAGTGACATCAGGGTGAGAGACATATCAGGTGAAAAGAGAGACATATCAGGTGAGGAAAGAGACATACTTGTGGTGAGGAAAAAAGACATATCAGGTGAGAAGAGACATATCAGGATGAAAAAGAGACAAAGTGAGAAGAGAGACATATCAGGTGAGGAAAGAGACATACCAGGTGAGGAAAGAGACATATCAGGTGAGGAAAAAGACATATCAGGTGAGGAGAGAGACATATCAAGTGAGGAAAGAGACATATCAGAGGAAAAAGACATATCATAGGTGAGGGGAGAGACAACAAGTGATGAAACATATCAGGTAAGGGAGACAAGTGATGAGACAGAGACATATCAAGTGAGGAAAGAGACATATCAGGTGGGGAGAGAGACATCTGCAGAGAAAGACATATCAGCTGAGAAGAAAGACATATCAGGTGAGGAGAGACATCAGGTGAGGAGAGAGACATCAAGGTGGGCGACAACAGGTGAGGAGAGAGACATCAAGTGAGGAGAGACATCAGGTGAGAGAGACATATCAGGTGAGGAGAGACATCAGGTGAGAGAGAACTATCAGGTGAGGAGAGAGAGACATCAGGTGAGGAGAGAGACATCAGGTGAGGAGAGAGATATCAGGTGAGGAGAGAGACATATCAGGTGAGGAGAGAGACATCAGGTGAGGAGAGATATCAGGTGAGGAGAGAGACGTCAGGTGAGGAAAGAGATATCAAGTCAGTAAAGAGACATCAGGTGAGGAAAGAGATATCAAGTCAGTAAAGAGACATCAGGTGAGGAAAGATATATAAATTGAAAAGAGAGACATGAGGTGAGAAGGGAGTTATTAGGTGAGGAGAGAGACATGAAAAGTACGTCTAATTACTGTACCTTTTCCACGAGAATGAAGTATCTCGGCACGATCAAGTAATAAGGTGACCAAGGAGATGGTTAAACAATATGAAAGAGTACCAAACAATATATATATATATATATATATATATATATATATATATATATATATATATATATATATATATATATATATATATATATATATATATATATATATATATATATATATATATATATATATGCTGATAACCTACAAGGAAAGAAGAAAACACGAAGTTCTAGATCACGCACACCTACGGTGATTTGCTTGCATATATATATATATATATATATATATATATATATATATATATATATATATATATATATATATATATATATATATATATATATATATATATATATATATATATATATATATATATATATATATATATATATATGTAAGTATGCAAGTAAATCACTGTAGGTGCGCGTGATCTAGGTATATGCTGATAACCACAAGGAAAGAAGAAAACACGAAGTTCCCAAGCGCTTTCGTGTAATTCACATCTTCAGGGGTGAGTACAGACTAAAGAGAAATACAAACCAAGGTGTATATATACAGAGGAGGGTGAGACCAGGTCCACAATGGTCAGGTATTAGGTAATGACCCTACTAATCTTTAAATAGCACACAACGGTTGGTGGTCAGGTCAGATGGTCAGGTGACCCGACCTTCTCACCTGGTTACAAATCTTCTTAATTACAAAATTGTCCAGCTTGTACATGCCGTTACTCAAATTCATGTTGAATGCTTCGGTATGTTTAATAAGACTAGATTCTATGATGTTCCTACTATCAATTGAATTACAAGGTAATATTGAGGAGGCATTATCCCAGTCAATGCAATGCTTGTTATCCCTCAAATGAACAAACAGAGCATTGGATTCCTGGCCTGTCCTAACACTGTATTTGTGTTGTTTAATTCTAGTTGCAAGATCTTTACCTGTCTGGCCTAAGTAAAACATATTACATTCCTTGCAAGGAACTTTATAAATGCAACCAATTGTGTTGTTGGGGGAGTTCTTGGTTAACATTTGTTTAACAGTGCATGAGTTTTTAAATGCCACATTGACGTTCCAGGTTTTTAGTTGTGAAGGAATGTGAGAAATTTTTGTGAAATGGTAATATTAAGATATTCTTATGGTCATGGGTGGGCTTGGGATCAGTTCTATAAAAAGTTTTCTTAGTAATGTTTAGGCATTTGTCTATGAAAGATCTAGGGTATTTAAGGTGTAAAGGTGTGTATGCATCTATGTCCAAGCCTTGCATTCCAAACTGTCCAGAAAGATTCACCAAAGCAATCCAAGCCCTTAAGAAAAATAAGGATCTACATGTCACTAAAGCATATATATATATATATATATATATATATATATAATCAACACCTCAACCCGCCAGGATTCGAACCCACGGCCCACTAGCCCATGACTGTGACCAGGGAACGCTAACCGCTGGACCACCAGGATACCAATAGCAGTTCTAGACTCTGTTATATTTCACACAAAGCCTGTTCAACGAGCTTATGGCGCCGTGAACCTCTAATAGGGACTACCCGTATCACGTAGGTGGTCAGAGTAACGTTTTACCCCGCCATAAGCCCGTTGAACAGGCTTTGTGTGAAATATAACAGAGTCTAGGACTGCTTTTAGTATCCTGGTGGACCAGCGGTTAGCGTTTCCCGGTCACAGTCATGGGCTACTGGGCCGTGGGTTCGATTCCTGGCGGGTTGAGGTGTTGATTGTATGTAGAAGTCTGCGTGCTATTGGGCTAATGAAATATATATATATATATATATATATATATATATATATATATATATATATATATATATATATATATATTGTTGTTTACCACAAATAAAGTACACTCATCTGTGTTTCAAGAAACTCCGTCACTTACATGTCTTCAAATACGTAAGTTACCTTAACTATGGGTGACTATAATTTAAGTTTGAAGTGAAAATTCCCTGTCTACGTATGTTTCAATTGGATGATTATACATACATTTTCGGCTATCTCTTCAGGAGTGGGATTGGGGATGGTGTTGGCCAGGGGAAACGTTTTAGGAATATTCTTGAGCTCTATTTCTCGGTCCTCCTGACACATTCCCAGCATCACCTGCATCTTCTTGCTCGCCACATCCTGGTGCTGTGGGTTACTTAGTGGTGAGGCTTTTTGGTTGTGGTGATGATATGTGATGGAGAAGGTAAGCATTAACGTTAAAGTGGTGGTGAAGGTAGATGGTAATGGTGAAGGCAGGAAGTGATGATGATTACAGGTGGTGATGTTGAAGTAATGCAGGAAGAAATGAAGGAAGAAGAGATGTTAAGATGGAAAGGCGATGGTGAAATGTGGAGAAGGCAAATTCTCTCAAATTTTAAATAATTGAAATACCTCATTATCATTGGCAAGCTAAATCACGTTATTGACTGGCTGAGTTAAGTGTTGTCACGCAGTGAACTCACAGAGTGGCTGGTGCTGACAATGATCGAGAGTTCAGAGGGGCTTGTAGCCTGGGACGATACTGTAGTGGACGTCTCCCCTACAACTGCGTAGCCGCATGCCACCTGCTACGTCTTCCCTAGCAACCAAACAAGCGGCCCAAGGGGGGGCGTCACCAGATGCCACAGTATCCTAGCAACGGAGTCAAAAGACCGGGGTTCCCACGGGTGACTCACGGCTGCTGTGTATATAAGCTCTGTCTCTCCATTGAGATTCATTCTGGCCTCTCTTCTTGAACACGCAACACCTCCTCCTCCGCCGCTGCCTGGCGACCCTCGCTTCTCCTCCGCCTGCCTGGCGGTCCTCGCTCCCGCCGGCGAGCATGGCGACCCACCAGCTGTCCTTCTCTGAGCGTCCTCACCAACCAGCTCTCTTATTCTGCTCTCGGTTCCTGAACACGCAACACCTCCTCCAAGCAAGCTCCTCGCTGTCCCGTTCTCATTCAACCTGGGGGCCAGCAACAGGCAACATCTTCTCTAATGAAGCTCCTGCACATTTACCTCCTTCAACACGCTACTCACCGAACGTGTCTACTGAGCAGCACCAGACTGTCTACCATATAACTTATATTATATAAGAAAACCACCACCTTAGAGTTTCCATCCATCCTGAGTGCTAGACAACATTATATCACGAAACCCTACATTAGCTTTGGTTAGGTTAGGGGATCATAACTCAGAAACGAGTGATTGCAACAAATGAATGTTAGAATCAAATGAGTCACACTAAAATCCGTAGGAAAAAGAAAAATTTTAGCTTCAAAGGGAGTTGTGTGTTATTCAAGATGATTGTAAATATGAAATGTCTCATATAATATAATTTAAAATCACAAACTAAACATCCATAATGTGAAGCAGTAAAGCAACAAGCGTTTAGTTCCTCGGCAGTTTTGTTTAGAAATTAATTTACATAAAGAAAAGATGTAGTTTTGATAAGTACCTACCTTTTGAGTTTCTCTGATGATGGCGGGTGTTTGCATGGTGATTCTCCTGTGAGACTGAGTTCTCTGGTCTGTAAGACAGTCAAGCCAGTTAGTCGAATAATATTTGACCGACGCTCTTCGTTAGGTGGGTTAATTGGTTTTAAAAATCATAAGAGGCCATGGAATTGAGGGGGAGGCAGGGCTGGATTAAGGGTTTCGTAGGCCCTGGGCACTTTCTTTTCTATTGTAGGCCCTTAAATTTTCCAATGCCTTGTCTATTTATGTGCCTTATGTGCATCACATGAATTGCTCGAGAAACGGTTTGATTGATTCATTGATACGTTTATTGAGACACAATAAAAAAATACATCTCAAAAGGATGAAGTGACATAAGTCATCCCCACCCCAGTCCAGGAATGTCCCTCTCAGGACTCGCATAAATCCCTAATACAGATATATCTCATATTATCAAGTATAGTACATATACAGTTATATTCTAGATGCAAAATTTGTATATTTCTTTAATATCTCATCTACTTTCCTATTTTCAAACATCCATTCTATTTGCTTGGAGACATTATTTATCTGGGCATTTCTATATACATAAAGCAATGGGCATTCCAGTATACTGTATAATGTGGCAGGTCATGGGATTTGGATGTTCTACAAACTCTACATTCTTTATCCTGTTCACTTCTCTCAGCTGCAAGTTCCCAGTAATATTTATATCGTAATTTTAACCTCATATACACTGAATCTTTCCACCTGCTGCTATCTTTCCCATGTGTAAAATTTGTGTTCATGAGAACATGATGGTAATGTTTCGTTGTTCCACTTTTCTCATATATTTCATGCCTTTTTAAATTATCTTCTATTGATTGTTTTTTCCGAAATTTGCTCCTTAATTGTTTCAAAGTTTTAATACATATTGTGTCGATCTCGGCCTCTTCCATGGCTCTTTTTGCGATTATATCTTCTGCTTCATTAAGACCAATCCTCACATGTGAAGGGACCCATACAAATCGGATACTATGGCCTTTTTTCCTTATTGTATTTACTAATTTTCTACATGAACCTATAATGAGTTCAAAGACTGGACTCCCGCTGTTCAAAGAATCCAAAGCGGCCCTACTATCAACAAAAAATATGCATCTTTATTCCCCTTTACAACATTTTCCAATCCTACTAACACTGCATATAACTCAATTTGTGTTGATGATATAAAATTGCTCAGCCGGAGTCCAATTTTGGTGTTATCAGTACCTTGTTCTGTATACTGTCTTATAAGGATCCCACACCCTGCCCTGCCACTTGACACAACTGAACCGTCACAATATACATGCAAGGTGTTTATTTTAGGCAAATTACTAATCTTATTCCCATATAAAGCCCTTAACTGTCCTGGTTCATGTAATGATTTCTTCATTGTGAGACACACAATGTCTAACTCTACTTCTTGTTCTTCCCAGACGAGGAACGGTTTGGTTTCCTCCAAAGACTATAGAGTAAAGATTGGAAAACTCGCCTGAAACGACCTGAAACCGTTGTGCACTAGAAGATGCCAGATACTGCCATAACAGTGCCATCTATTGAGCGAGCTATATTATTGGAGGTACTACCGCCATGGGAAGCTTAATGACTGTTGTCTAATGTAGACCCTGCTACCATATGGTATCACAAAAAATGTGACAAAGTCCCAGGTTGCTGATCTGACTTTTTGCCTTACTTACACACAATTGCAGGGTCTCAATTGTGTCTCTTACTTTGACAACACAACATACATACAGTACAGTATATCGTTCGTCACTATTGCTATTTTTATTTATTTTTATTTATAGCTATTATTTTTATTATTATCATTATTATTTTAAAATTTTGATAAATTTTTATTATTATTATTATTTTATCTTATTATAATCGTTATTTATTTATATTTATTACTATTATTATTACAGGTATAATTATTATTTTATTATATTTTCGCACCTCAGATCTTGATGTGGGTCATTAGAAATGATCTGTGCCCGGGTGGGCTAATGCCCGTAAAAAAAAAAAAAAAAACTAGTTCACATTAGATTCCCTCCAGAATGTAGGAACTAGTTATAATGGCGGGGATTTTCTTCTTCCTATCCCTTATATTCTTATTTCATACTTCTTTCTTTGTCTTTTTTCCTTCATTTGTTCTGTCTAAATATTTCATTTCATGGTTACTTTATAGCCTCAGTCCTTTGGTAGCGTGGCGAGAGTTAGGGCACATGGGTACTGTAATTCTGGTATCAAGTCATTGGACAAAATAAAGGTGGATACTGAGGTAAAATGATACCCCTAATATACTCTAAGAAATGGTTTATTAATATGAAATTAAATTAGGTAAAAGATGTCATTAACATACAACTACAAGGTTCAACTCCTTGGCCTTACTCATCTGCAATTCCAATTGGATACTCTGGCTTCTTACAACATTACTGGTGGTACATTACATTAACATACAGCTACAAGGATCAACTCCTTGGCTTTACTCATCTGTAATTCCATTTGGATACTCTGGCTTCTTACAACATTACTGGTGGTATATTACATAGACTACACCACATGACCAACTTACATATGACCTTCACTAGAACTGTTGGTAGTACATATGGAGGATGCACTCACAACACATAACACGTTGTTATTGATACTAACAATTTTATGGGTTCACTACCCAACATGGGATAATTATATTTCGGTTAATTATCTCCAACCATATATAACAAATACTGTGGACCATATAACTGCAAGGAGTGTCCCGGGTATAACACTGGCGTCTCAACAAATGAAGATCGCTGTTATGGTCGGTTGTAGTCTGACACGTGGCGAGAGTCTGGGGTCAAGTTCCCAGGAATGCGGACTGGAGCAGTTTAATCTTGCCGAATCAGCGACATCGTCCAATACAGCTAACTGTTAGGTATCCACCGACCCCTGGCAGCCGGTGGGGTGTTCAAATAACCCACACACTGGATCTGGGATAATTTGGAAATCGTGAAAGAAGGGATGATGATGATGACTCAATCACAAACAATCTTTTGTCTCGCAATGACAGACGACATTTACGTTATAGTACTTCTTACACTGGGTAAATGATAATTTCACTGTTACAACATGAACACTGATATTCACAAAATTGACTAAGTTAAACTGAATGACTATATCGACGGGGAACACTCGCTCACATTCCTGGGATAATTTGGAAATCGTCAAAGAAGGGATTTCTCCTTCACGCACAGGTTTATATACGCCGTGAGTTGCCAGAGGTGGCTACTCACGCAATGACAGAAATTACATTCAAATCAACTGCTACACATTCAAAGATGGCCCTCAGTTGACACGGGTCTGGCGAATTTCTTAAGTTGATTTACATAAACTAATTCGAGATTGAGCTTGCCAGGAAAAAGTATAATAAATACGTTGACAACTGTTAGTACCCCAAATGGGCGGGACGTATGGACAAGGAGCCTTTGTGTATACTTTGAGATTTTGGAGAAAATGGCTGGCACCTAAAGAGAGGGAAAACGCATTTCTCCCTAGGGATAACTCACTAGTTATCCACATGTTTTGCGGGCTTGGAGTATAATATGAATCATCAGGTTTCAAACAGACTAGCCGTTATTGTGACCATGACATAGTTCCCATCAACCGTATCAATGGTATCATTTATGGGTAGCTTTACAGTATCTCCTTTGTAAAATTGTATTTTTTAGAACCCAGAATATAATTAACATTTGTTTTCTTTTTTCTTTACACTATATACTACTTAAGCCTTTGTGTAATCTAGTCTACAGGTGGCGTCACATTTGCACCTTTTCCGTCATTTTATTGCATAATTTTTCTAAATACAGGGTAGTGCCAATTTTCTGAGTGCGTCTTGTCATGCACGCTAGTCTATGCGCTCGTCAATTGTAAACAAAGAAAATAGGGTTGTATGCCGTGAAAGTTGAAGGAAACTTGCAAGTGTGATGCTGCCTTTGAAATCTCAGCCGTTTCTATCGAGTACAGTCATGCGCCGGTTAACGTCCTAGATACGTTCTTGGAAACGTGACGTTAACCGAAATGGACGTTGTCCGATCATCACATAAACTTTGTATTTATACTTACGTGTATGTGGAATACTATATACGTACATATACACTTTTACTGTTAAATCACTACTGTAATGTGATACAGGTGATTAATTTTTATCTCTTGTGCAAAATACATGACGTTTATATTAAAATTATTCACTGTTTTACAGGGATTCCAGCAACGCCGAGCAGATGGGGGAGAGAGAGGGTGGGAGCAAGCGAGGGGGCGTGGGGGGAGGGGAGGTAGTACGTTTGACAGTTGGCACAGGCCCAGGTCTAACGCGTGTATATTTATCAGTTCTTAGGTGACTAAGCTTCTCTCTTATAAAAAGCCAGTGAAATGACCTGGGTGAATATAATTAACATACCTGGGATTCTTGTAACATACTGATTAATTTGAATATAAACATGCTATAATTTGCACTCGACAAAACAATTTTAGTACCGTAATCAAATTAGTACATGTGCACTCCAGCTTTGCACTAAGGTCATTTATTTCTTTTACGTTTCTTTTAGTATGGTGTGTGCATGTAAATGGATGAAAATAAATGAAGAAATCTATGTAAATCTACCCAAAAATACAGTTGAAAAACTTTTTATAAAATGTACTACAGTATTGTACACTAATGTACTACATTTTTTATATCTTGAGCAAAATATATGACGCTTATATTCAAATTAATCTCTGTCTTGCAAGGATTTCAGCAATGCAAATTATATTATCCTAACTTTAGTCTGAGATATTATATAAAATAAACATAAAGAAATCACCAATCTTTTGTCTGGGAACACAAGGAAGGAAGTAGCCAGGAGCGTGTGGGAAGAGGGGGGGGAGGTGAGGTGACAGAATGTCTGGCGTTTGTTTGTTTATTTATTTGAGATAAGATTTGACAGTTGGCGCTGAAGGCCTGTGTGTGTGTTTATTTATCATTACTTAAGAGTGACTAAGCTCTTCTCATAATTTGCCACCCAAACGACCTGGGTGAATATAACTTACATTGGAGGGATTCTTGTAAGATAGTAATTTATTTGAATACCTGTATAAACAAGCTATATTTGCAATAGACATAACAATTTTAGTACCGTAATCATTTAGTACATGTACAATACAGGTTTGCACTTAGGTCCATTGTTACTGTACAATATTGACTAAATTCACTAGATAACGTACGCCTGGCAGCACAATCTATAAGAACACGCGATGCATACGTGACTGTGCCCGCTCTAGGGCCATTTAGGTTCGCTAGGTCCCATTATTTGAATGTTTTTTTTTTCAATTTAAATTTTAATTGTTTATTCCTTGATAGAGGAAGTGGGATCCTAGTGCTGTCACTTGGTACCCCTGTACCATAACACCAGAAGCAACTGGCCAGTGTCACAAGTATATACAGTACAGTACAGTCATCCCTTGGTTATCGCGCCTAATTGGGACCCCGCCGATGATGAAAGTACAGAACCTCTGGGATTTATTCTAATTGGTTCAGGCACCCAAGACCCAACCCCAAGTTTCCCATTTTACGACCATTTAGACCCAATAAATATATATATATAATGTTATGGTAAATATCATAAACACACATAGGCATGGCTAGGTTTATTACAAAGTGATGAAAAGGGTACGCTTAATACTGTAGTCCACAAAACATGTAACTATGCTTTTTATTTTTAGTAATGCCACAGAATTTGAAATTGCAACCCCAATTGCAACTGGGGTTGCAATTGTTGAGGCAACTAGATATGTCTGATTACAGCAAATGTGTTATTGTCAATTTGTAGGTGAAAGATTTTATCCTCAATAGATGTAGGTTAACATTTCACCTGTAGGCAAATGCTTAAAAAAGCCTAAGTAAGGAAGCATATTCCTTAAACACATAATATCTGATCCGTATGGGGAGGATCATCATGTCTCCGTCACTTTTTTTGGGGGGGGGGGTGCCACGGACGTCGTATATGCGATCCGACGTTGTTCGGTCAGACGTTAACCGGCGCATGACTGTCCAGTAAATACATTGATGCATATACTGTACATATTACTGAAGAGGCAGAGTGCACTTTTCGCATGTGCTAAACTAACAGAACTGACATGAAATACTGTGATGACACTGTTTACATGTCATATTTATGTACTGTGTTGATGTCTTAAGGTAAAATTGGATAATACAAAGTAATTTTTAAGCATATTAGTGTGTTCCACCATTGTTAACACTTACGAATCATAGTTTTGAACTCCCCTGTGAATGCCCTTTCCAATGATACCAAGTTCTATAATGTTGAGTGAGTAGCTAAAGGCATGTTGGGGGCGACACCCCCAATCAAATTAGGAATATACCTAACGGTAGCATGGTCAAATCCTGGTAACCAACACTTGGTTATGATGTCAAATACGCGGTGTAAACGAAAAATATCAATGAGGTAGCTCATTGACGCCGCGCTGGACGGTTCACAGCATGTGGTATAGATGCGTTGTGTAAAGATTGACAGAACTCTTAAGTGGCCCTCACACGGTTAGTATTTATTGACAATATTATATTGTCAATATTTTAATTATTGACAACCGCCACCTCACACGTTCAATATTTCCGACAAATTTGTCAGTCTGTACCAAGGAGGCTTAGAAGGAGTGCTGACGGAAATGTGTGCTCATAAAGCTTGTGTAGCTGTGATCTTGGCTTTTGCATAGACAATCTTTCTTCATTTCCTTGAAAATAATCAACAACTCATAAGCTGCATTTTCTTTCCTTTGTTCATGTAGTCCTTTGAAGTAACATCCCACAACCCTGCTAATTCTCTGTATGTACGAATGAATCATAAGAACACATCCCAAGTGTCACTTCTTGTTTGGGCAGCTGGCCCATTACCGCTATCAGCAAGACCGGAAGGCGATGTGCATGCCATGGACGATGTTACGTTTTAAATGCAAGAAAGCGGTTTTTCTTACCGTAGAACTCAGATACCTTCACACTGATTACTCACCCAGGAGATTATGGTGTATCACTACGTAGAATTTCATTCTGCTTCCGGCATTCAATGCGTTGTGTACTTGATAAATGATGATTTAATGAATTCCATTAATTTTCAACATTCATCTAAGTGATCACTTCCTTTACAGGATGCGTTAACTTTTCGCTGGACTTAACAACAATCTCGGGGATTTGCACACACAGACTCGTAGCACTGGTAGGACTGTATGGCCCGTGTTCTAAGTCCGCGGAGCAGGAGGTCTTCTCTCATCCAAGGTCTAAAGCCCACTGACTAAAATGAGGTCTCACTGGCCTCCCCTTATCGGCTGGCAGGGTACCTTATCTCTACCTAAACAAACATTTGGGATGGGTTGTGCGGGAGGCGCAACCCATGACAGACGACCGTTACAAACTCATTCTCTATTGACAATACTAGCCTCACACTGTCAATAAATATTGACAATATCATAAATATTTTGAAACTCATCAATCCAGTTTCCATCAATATTTTGTATTGTCAATACCTTCAATCTCATCCTCACACGATCAATCTTATTGTCAATAAATATTGACCATGTGAGGGCTGCTTTACATGAAAGGTGCCGGAGTAAAGATTTGTTTTAACGCCCCCGTCGTTTTTTACAGGGAAATATATTTCTTCTGGTGTATTTTGGTATGCTTTGTTGAAATCTGGCCTTCATTTTCTTTGAAAAAATCCCATTTATGAGAAATGTCTTAGGCATATACAGTAGAACTAACCAGCCAAAGAAACCTATATACTTAACCTTACCAAACTTCCTAGCCGTCCCTCGAATTCACCAGCTTGCGCCTCGTGGTCAAGGTCAGCAACCAGCGCCGCCTTGCATGACTGAGGTCAACTATCAAGCCACGCCTACCTCCGCTATTTAAGACCTCACCTCGTGGTGACCTACCTCTTTCTACCCACAGCCACCAGCAAGCAACACCTCCTCCTCCGCTCCTGCCTGGTGGCCCTCGCTCCCGCCGGCGACCATGCCGACCCACAAGCCACGTGTTCTCCTCTGAGCACCCTCACCAACCAGCTCTCTCTACATCACGCTTGGACTCACGCTGCCACCCCCCCAGCACCAAGCTGCTTTGTACATCCAATACAATATGTATATAGAGAGGACATTGTGAGTTTCCTCTCTCCATCCCATCCTGAGTGTGAACCAATAACTCGTACCCCACAAGACAACAGAAATTTACCTTATCCCAGATTAATGTTGTATTTATGATTCCTGGATATTCACGTTCATAAACCATCCAAAGGGAAAATAACAAATAGGAAACAGATTGGTCTAATTACTCTTCGTTATAAAACAAATAAATTTCCTTCTTGTGTACTCACTCATCATTATCCTGTGTGTGGCAGAGAGTTGCACCAGCACTACCAACCCCAGCAACAGCGACCTGCACGACCTGTGGGGCCCCACGCTCGTACTCATTATCATCATCTTGGTGGATGGACTCACTCGGACCTCACTGGCCTCTGGAATCAATTTGATTAATTACAGGAATATAGGTATACATTTACCTAAGTTCAATCTGAAATGGTCAATAACTACATCGAAGAACATGCTGATGGTACCATCAACATTGTTCTTGCTAAATAGATCTGTGATGCTAAAATATGACATGCACTTTGTACAATTGCCTACAGAGTGATATACTACGAGTTTCGAAACAAATACGACAAATATCTATTTATAACGGCTACTGAATGTAAAACCACGTATGGAAGTATACTGTACCATCATCACTCCGCTGAGTTGTATGTATAGTGTCTAAGTAACGAAGTCTTAATGAAATAACTTCTAAGTAATGTGATGAGCTATTGAGTAACTGCCTATATTAATCTACTACACAGTCACCCACAAATGTCCTGTCGCCTCTACTCCGAAACCACGAACCCTGACAGACTCGTGAACCCGAAGCAGTAGACACTGATCCATTATTATGTCTATAAATGCTTCGGTTTCACGAGTCTGAATCTCTGGGCTCGTGGTTCAGGAGTAGAGGCGACAGGACTTTTGTGGGTGGCTGTACAGTCGTGAACAGAAGTCCTGTCGCCCCTTCTACTGCTCCACGAACCCTGAGATTCAGACTCATGAATCCGAAGCATTTATGGGCAGAATAATGCACCAGTGTCTACTGCTTCGTGTTCATGAGTCTGAATCTCTTGGTTCGCGGAACAGCACAAGGGGCGACAGGACTTCTGTTCACGACTGTACATATATATGTTTCACACTAATTATCATTCATCAGCTTGGTTGTATTCACAGCCAGGTGAGTGGCGACTTTTCTGTGATCTGAATACAAGTTGGATTATTCACCAGTGTTGTGTTAATGGTAAGGACGATTGAATACCTAAAAAAAAAAAAATAGGGGGATTCGGTATTTTGGTTATTACCAATGTGGGACATGGAATTTTGAAGCATGGTGTTTGAAATGCTCTTGTTATTGCCAAATAAGGCAAGTCGTATTTGTGATATTTCTTCAAGGCAGTATTGTAGTATTGTAGTATAACTATTATCCTCTTCGCCACTGATCGGCTCGTTAGCCGCTTGGGCGATCGGTCACGTCTCTGTTACGCACTGTTGGCAAGTACTGGGCATGCACTGGCTCCGGATTTTTTTTTTTTTACGGGCATTGGCACACCCGGGCACAGGTCAATTTTATGACCCAAAAGGCCTGGGGGTGGGGAGGGCGAAAATATAAAAAAACAATAATAATAATAAATATAATAAATAACAATTATAATAAACTAATACAATACTAATAATAATTTTTTTGGAATAATAATAATAATAATAATAATAATAGAACCACAAAAAAATATATATATATATATTATATATATATATATTTTTTTATAAAATCACAAGGGTGCTCCGTTGTTTCCCTTTTCCCGTGTGATTTTTTCAAGATTTATCTTATCCACGTTTTCATTGTGGACCTACATGATATATATATATATATATATATATATATATATATATATATATATATATATATATATATATATATATATATATATATATATATATATATATATATATATATTATATATATATATATATATATATATATATATATATATATATATATATATATATATATATATATATATATATATATATATATATAATAAGGAAAGAAAAAACACGAAGTTCGTGGATTATCAACATATACCTCACTTACAGTGATTTACTTGCATATATATATATATATATATATATATATATATATATATATATATATATATATATATATATATATATATATATATATATATATATATATATATATATATATATATATATATATATATATATATATATATATATATATATATATATATATATATATATATATATATATCAGGAGTGAGAAGTAATATATGTATGTTGTGTTCTTAACGTAAGAGAAGCAATTGAGACCCTGCAATTGTGTGTAAATGAGGCAGAAAGTCAGATCAGCAACCTGGGACTTTGACACAATTTTTGTGATGCCATGTGGCAGCAGGGTCTACCATTAGACAACACATTATGCTTCCAATATCTTTCCAGGCGGTAGTACCTCCATGTTTGATAGCTGCCTACTACCTATCTGAACCTGCTCCAGTGCTGGTCAAGTCTGCACTTGAAACAGCTCACACTCGGTGCCGCCACAACACTCTCTGGCAGGTTGTTCCACGAGTTTATAACTCTTACTCCAAAAAAGTTTGCCCTCACAGTTTTCTGGACTTGTGACTTCTTCAACCTTGAGCTGTGACCCCTTGTGCTTGGGGCGAGTGTCCGCCAGCTCCAGGTAAGGACACTCGACTGAGTTGTGCCCTTTGAGATGTTTATACACCTCAATTAGGTCTCCTCTTGCCCGTCTGTAGTATAAGCTAGGCAATTGCAGGAGCTGTAATCTCTCTGGGTAGCTGAGGTGCCTAAGTGCTGGCACCAGTCTGGGCCCTCCTTTGGACATTTTCAATCAACTGACAGTGCCTAGCATATCTCGGGGACTAGACGGGGTGACAGTACTCCAGGCGGGGAAGCACCTCACTCTTGAAGTTGCTTGGTTCACCTTCTCACAATGGCCCGAGAATTTCAGTACATTGTCAGCATACACACACCCAGGTCCTTTCCACATTGTCTCAATTAACCCAGTTTCTTCGTCCCGTTGGAATATGTGATACGCCTCCTTACCGTTGGTACGTCCCAAGTGCAGCCTCTTACACTTCGTGACATTGAATCTTAGCAGCCATTTCTTAGACCATTCTTGAAGCTCACAGAGATCTTTCTACAGCTCTTCACAGTCTGCTTGGTTATTTATCTCCCTAAATAGCTTGGCATCGTCCGCAAACATTTGTACGGAGGAGTGTACAGCTTTTAGCATGTCATTTATGAAGCAAACAAACAACAGCGGGCCCAATATACTGCCCTGTGGTATCCCGCTTGTCACGGGCACACATGACGATTTCATGCTTGCAATCATAAAGGAAAGTCATCGATCCACGCTAGGACAATTCCCCGAATCCCGTACCCTTCCAGTTTAATTTTTAGCCTTTCATTGGGTACGCTGTCGAAAGCCTTGGCGAAATCTAGGTATACATTGTCGATATTGGCACCCTGTTCCGGAATTCAGGTCCAAACATCCAGTACCTTGAGTAATTGTGTTAAGCAGGAGCGCTCCGGCATAAAACCGTGTTGGCAATCCATAAAAAGATTGTTTCGTAGTAGATGTTCCATCATGGCATCTCTTATAATGCTCTCAAGTACTTTTCTTTCTATGCTGGTCAGGCTCACTGGTCTGTAATTATTCGTGGAGTGACGTTCGCCCTTCTTGAAGATAGGACTCACATAAAGCCATTTTCAAATTAATGGGGACCTTTTGCTCACCCAGGCATTTACAGAACAGGATCTTCGGGGGCTTAGCAAGCTCGTTGCACAAATCACTTAGCACTCTGGGATGCACCATGTCAGGGCCGGGACTCTCATGAACTTTTAGCTTTGCCAATTTATTTCTTATACCTTCTGAGAACACAATGTGTGTCAGCGCTGTGTCGAACAGTCTGTCCCCAAACGCAGCAAGATTGTTCGTATCCTCTCTTGTGAACACCAAAGAAAAGAAACTGCTCAATGCCTCCGCTTTGTCCTGGTCAGAATCTGCGTAACTACCATATTCAAGCTTTCGGGTTTGACTTGACCTTGTTTGCAACCAGCCTCTGGAACTCCTTTTCAGCCCTTTTACAGTCTGATTTTGCTTGGTTCTTGGATCTGGTATACATCCTCCTGTCCTGCTCATCGTTTGTCCTAACCCACGTCTTGAATTTCTGGGTTTTCTTCTTAACTTTGTCGACCGCCTAATGGTTCATGTGGAGGCACTGGGTTTGGTCTTGGGTATGTATTTATCGATCAAACATTGGTTGGATGGATATATGAGCGATAGGGGTTGGGTGTAAACGGGACTGCCCAGTATGGGCCAATAGGCCCGCTGCAATTTCCTCCATTCTTATATTCTTATGGCTCACTTTACTATCTATGATATTCAGCGTAGTGTCTGCGTTCTTATACCTTAGTGAGTTAGGCCAGTGGATACCCCTCATCCCGTCGTAATTTCCATTGTAATATTTGAACCTTGGCCTGATTATGTCGTGAACTAAGTAACAGTTTAATCTAAAGGACAATGTTACGTGATGGCTGGTGCCAACGGGGGTTAGGTGTTCCAGCTTGGCCACCTGTTTGTTATGATGAGGTCCCGTGGCTTGGGTGTTTGCTGAACTCTGTAATGAGTCGGGTCTTTAACACGCTGGAACAGAAAATAATCTCTCATAGTTTCTACAAAAAGAGTAGCGGGGTTATTTCAGTAATTTGGCGTGGTCTCATTTCTCCAGTCGATGTCGCCATTGTTAAAGTCCCCCATTACAAGGAGGTTGCTAGGGCTGAGGGCTGAGCGCCGTTGCATTGTCTATTGAGGCTCTTAAGTTCCTTTGCTTTAATAAGCTACAGTTTAGGGATCTGTAAATATACCCACAATAAGTAAATCTCTCCCCTTTAATTTAATTTTACACCACTTGGATTCTTCAAAACATTCTCTCCCTGTACCCTCGCCTGGCTGGCTCTAAGGTCTTGCCTAGCATAGATAACCACACCCCTCTTGCAAGTTGCTTGAGAAAGGTTCGTAAATGTGTCATATCCGTCAATGCTGAACGCACATTCCTCCGGGTCGATTCTCCTGTTCTTGTGCAAAAGTTCTACAACACCTATCCGTACTATATCGGGTTGATGTACGTACAGGTACAGTACCTCCAGTAGTGTTTCAAACTCCTCTTTCTTATCAAGGAACGTGTCAGTATTAGTGTACATGACTTTTAAGCCGGAATTTGTTTTCGGTAACGTCTCTGCTCTTGGTAGTCACTCCGGCCCCCCTCCAGCTGCGGCATTTGCTAAATACATTGTATTTTGCGGGGTGTGGTCAGAGATGTCATTGTTTACATGGCGCTCGCCTCCACCTGATTGAGGTAGAGCGGGTAGGGGTGTCCCTCCGTCTCCCTGCTCTGTACTGGAGCTCTTGCTTCCAGTAATGTATATGGTAATGTTAATCTTAACCCCACTATGACATCTAACGAAATATGCACATAAACACAAGCATGGTCAATATTTTATTATTTCGCGTGATCTAGAAGAATAGTTAGACGATTTTCCCTGGATCAAGACCACGTCCCTACTGTACACATACCTGAAGCGTAGCACGGCGTCGAATGACGTAGCATGAAGGCCGGCAAGTCTTATAAATGCTCGGCAGGTGCCAGTTTGCTCCTATGCTCAACCAAATTTTTCCTAAAGTTCAAACTTTTTTTTTTCTTCTCCAGAAAGAAGCCCGTTCAGATAATGCTATCTAAAAGCGCTGAACATGTTTGGGTTTTACGTTCATGAAAATGCACAATGTAATTTGATTCCTTTGCTGTGTTAACGAAAATGAAACATCTGTGTTTTCCCTTTGAGGATCACTAGTAGCTTCAGGTGACGCAACACTGCGAATTCCTCCCTGATTATCATTCTACACCACAAGGTTAGTCCTCATGCCACTTCGAAGTTCACACACACACACACAAAAACACACATTCACATTTTACCTACATATCCACATACACACAAAAATACACATACCTGTACACTCACGTAAAGACTAAACCCCCTCCCCCCCCCACACACAAACAAGACACATTCGCTGTTTCTCACCTATCTACAGTATAGCGACGGAGTGGTTGGCTAAGAAATAATAAACAGATTCAAACATGGTGAGCGTAAGGGTGCAAATGATGGTAATAAAATACTAAGACGAGGTCGACAATGGTGTAACGTGGGATGAAGTTGGTCACCTATATTCATTACGCAACGATCTCTTGCGTAATGCACCTACCGTATTACAGAGTAAACGTTGATGATAGTATTAATGATGATGGTAGTAGTGTTGATGGTGATAGTATTAATGATGATGGTAGTAGTGTTGATGGTGATAGTATTAATGATGATGGTAGTAGTGTTGATGGTGATAGTGTTAATGATGATGGTAAGAGTGTTGTTGTTGATGGTGGTAGTATTAATGATGATGGTAGTAGTGTTGATGGTGATAGTATTAATGATGATGGTAAGAGTGTTGTTGTTGATGGTGGTAGTATTAATGATGATGGTAGTAGTGTTGATGGTGATAGTATTAATGATGATGGTAAGAGTGTTGTTGTTGATGGTGGTAGTATTAATGATGATGGTAGTATAATGAGACAAAACTCACAAGAAGAAGATTACATATAGGTAGAATATTGATAGTATAAGAGTATAAAAGAGAGGAAGATTTTGGTAGCGTGGCCGTGATAGTTATTTACACTTATCGTACACTCGTTCTTATACGTCAATACACATCTATTACGTTCTTAAAGGCGACTTCTCAAACACTGCTTCGTTACAACTCTTTATTAATTACGAACATGACATGGACACATTAATAACACCTTCTATTGAAGTTACTAGGACATTATATTACGTTACTAGACGCTCTGACTCTCGGACACGAACATGAAATGAATACACTTCCCACATAAGTAACTCATCCCGTGGAAAGCTCTGACAAACACTCACGTGACCTAGGGAAGGCCTAGCAGGGAGACTGCTTAGCTGGAACACTGGTGTCGGGAGGGCGACTGCTTAGCTGGGACACTGGTGTCGGGAGGGCGACTGCTTAGCTGGGACACCGGAGGGAAGTCTCGGTCCTGACCGGAGGCGACTGGAGGCGACCGGAGGCGACTTGCCTCCGGCCCCTGACTTCTCTCGAGCAGGACTCCGGGGACGTCGTAGCTGGCCACCTTGTTACAAGACCACTCTCTCTCTGCCTCTGCCTGTCAATGTCACGAGGGAGGACTAGCACGTCCTATATATTGGGATGCGAGCCGTGAGGTTGAGCTGGCCGGCGGGGGGGGGGGGCGGCGAAGGGTCTCCTTACATTTGACCTCGCTAATGTAGGGTCAGGTCTGGACTTTGTTCAGAGACTATAAGTTATGTCTTCTGGAAAAGTCATCAGGTGGGGCCTTGTGACATGAGAGGCCCTGGTTGATTTGTGGCCCCTTGAGTTGGGCTCCGAGGGTTACATTTGACCTGGCTAATGTGAGGTCAGGTCCGGCCTCTCTCTGCGATGTAGGTTATTGTATATTGGGAGAGAGTCGGCTGGTGCCTTCTTACATGTCTGTTGTGGTGACATGTCACATGGGAGGGGAGCTAGTTGATTTGTAACACCCTTGAGCACCTGCGAGGGATACCCTTACACTTGACCCCCCTAATGTCGGGTCAAGTCTGGCTTTCCTTGCGATGTAAGCTGTGGTCTGACAACCCATCACTCCAGTAGTGTTGTTGTTGATGGTGGTAGTGTTGTTGATGGTGGTAGTGTTGTTGACTGTTGCGATGGCGGTAGTGTTGTTGTTGATGGTGGTAGTGTTGTTGATGGTGGTAGTGTTGTTGTTGATGGTGGTAGTGTTGTTGATGGCGGTAGTGTTGTTGTTGATGGTGGTAGTGTTGTTGATGGTGGTAGTGTTGTTGTTGGTGATGGTGGTAGTGTTGTTGATGGTGGTAGTGTTGTTGATGGCGGTAGTGTTGTTGTTGAAGGTGGTAGTGTTGTTGATGGTGGTAGTGTTGTTGATGGTGGTAGTGTTGTTGATGGTGGTAGTGTTGTTGATGGTGGTAGTGTTGTTGATGGTGGTAGTGTTGTTGATGGTGGTAGTGTTGTTGATGGTGGTTGTGTTGATGATGATTCACTTCTTACTTATACCCTCTTCGCCACTGATCGGCTCGTTAGCCGCCCGGGCGATCGGTCACGTCTTTGTTTCGCTGCTACGCACTGTTGGGAAGTACTGGGCATGTACTGGCTCCAAAATGTATCTGAACCTGCTCTAGCGCTGGTCAAATATGGTCTTGAAACAGCTTACACTCGGTGCCGTTACAAAACTCTCTGGCAGGCTGTTCCAAGAGTTCACAACTCTCACTTGCTGCTTCTTCAACCTTGAGCTGTGACCCCTTGTGGGGCGAACGTCCACCAGCTCCAGGTAAGTATGGAAAATCTAGTCAGACTTCCTTTCAGACAAACAGCCAAGCTCCTCTGCTTTGCAGACGACTTACAGCTCATAGTAAGAGGAGCAAACAGACTAGCCAACACGCAACACGCACTCCAACTTATAGAACAGGAGTGCAACAGACTTGGATTCAAGATAAATCCAGCCAAGTCGAAAGCGATGTCCATCTGCACAGACACACCAGACATGATGCTCTCCATACAAAACACACCGGTAGTCTGGACCAACACCCACCAGTGTCTTGGAATCTGATTCGACCAGAAACTCACTTTCAAGCCGCAACTCGAGTGTCTCAGGCACAGGGCGAAGAGCAGACACAACTTAATGAGGTCGCTCACCAGCACAACCGCAGGAGCGAAAATGCACGTGCTCAAAGCCTACTACACGGTCGCCATCAGATCGCTGGTAGATTACAGTGTTCCAGCGCTCATTGGACTGAGAGAAGGCCAGATAGCCAAGCTAGAAGTTATCCAAAATAATGATCTCGGGACCATGCTCGGAGAACCCATGTGGACCAGAATTTGCAATTTGCAAATGGAAACTGAACTACCCCCCCTGGCAGTACGAGTCAAACAGGTGACAGCCGGTCTCCTCGCCAAAATCTGTAAATCAGATAAGCCCACAGCTGCCAAAACGCGAATCAGTGCCTCTCTCCACCTCGACCACAGAGTGGGAGAGGCCACCTGGTCGCACGAGGCAAGCGAGGTCATCGGGCACCTGCAAGCAGAAACACTCGTCAAGAACAACCAAGACATACGAGACAGGGATTATGTAGTTCCACCACCATGGAGCCCTCCACCAGCCACATTCAAAATCACCGAACTAGGTGATAGCAAAGCCAACCTCCAGAAGGAGGACCTCAAAAGAATAACCCAGGAAGCCATAGCCACCGAGACACCGGCTGATGCAGCATCATACTTCACAGACGGCTCGGTGGACCCAAAACATCATAGATCCGGAGCGGCCTTCTACACCCAAGGCCAGACTTTCCTATGAAGACTTTCTAATGACTGCTCCACCCTACAAACAGAGTTGGTAGCAATCTCAAAGGCCCTACAAAAAGCTGCAACACAACACAACACGTCCATCATAATTCACACGGATTCGAAAACAGCCATGCAGGCGCTGCAACACAGTCAACCAAGAGACAACATCCACATCATAGCCTCGATCCTCGTACAGCTACAGGACTTCCAAAGACAAAATCACCCAGTCGTCTTACACTGGATTCCCAGTCATGTAGGGATCGGGGGAAATGACATGGCACACGAAGCAGCCAAGGCAGCCACACGTTCTAGAAGCGTATACATTCAAGTTCCAGCAAGCGTGCAACAGATCAAGAATCACCTCAGAAAGACTACCAAGCTCCACATCCAAAAGAGCTTCCTTGACGCATTCAACGCTGGTTCCCAATCAGCCAAATGGTACCTGGTGGCTACAAAAGAAGAACCACCATTCGCAGACAAGAAAACACCAAGACAAACCCAAGTTAGCCTTCATCGACTACGACTAGGGAACAAGAGCACCCCTGTCCATGAAAACTCAGTTTTCCTAATTTCGAGCCATAATATAGAGCAACGGGGTTACAGGGACAATAAATAATAAGAAAAGTGTAATACATTTGAATGGGTCGTGGTACAGAAGGAGGGACACGTCTATTTCCTGATCACTTGATGTCAGCCCGTCCATGGCTAATGTTGTCGTGTCGTCATTTATTTGTCTATTACCTTCGCCTTTGTAGCACCTGGGTAACTTACCTTTTGTCAGATATGCAATATGAATTTCATTAATACGCTAAATTTTAAAGAATATTAGCAAAACATCTTATAGAATTAATTCTATCAAGCCAGCGTGGTTCCAAACTTCTCATACGCGTCCACCATGGGTGACCCATAGACTCCATCATCACTACATATAACACCATCCACCATCACTACAGATCGGTAAAGTAGGTTTCGAGATTCTCGTGCGGACACACAGACAAACAGACTTCTTTGTTTTATATATATATATATATATATATATATATATATATATATATATATATATATATATATATAATATATATATATATATATATATATATATATATATATATATATATATATATATATATATATATATATATATATGCTGATAACCACAAGGAAAGA